GTCAGAGAACGTGCGCCCAGAGGATGGCCGCATCCTGAGCAGCTTCGTCATCCAGAGCGGCGCCAACACCACCACTGCGATGACGGAGACCACGACCTTCATGAACAGCACTATGATGACCACGACTGCCACCACGATGTTCTCAACGGCAGAGCCTACCACCATGCCGCCCACCACCATGCCGCCCACCACCATGCCGCCCACCACCATGCCGCCCACCACCACTACTGCTGTTGGAGAGGAGCCGCCGAGCGCCGCGTTCCACGCCGTGGCAGGGGTGCCTGTGCTCCTGGCTCTCCTGAGCATGGCGTGAGTTTGACGTTTTGGTTCAGGGCAATGATCTTGACCATAGTTTTGCTGCTTGACCTCATGCAGTCCGCAGCGCACTACGACTTGAACCAATACCGTACTTGCCAGGACTGTTTTCTGTGAATTGAATTCCTCAGACAATTTAATGTCGAACAATCTTGTGAGAATGTTGACTGTGGCAAGAGCATTTGATGTGGCAAAGCCAAATTTTCCCAAATTTGCCACTCACATATTTGCTGTAAGCTGAACTGATGCCTTTCTGTATCACATGGTACGTTGCAAAAAATGGCGAGCGCTGGGCTGCGCACGGAAGCGTGCTGCCCCTGTTGTGCAAACATGGCAGGATTGTGTTCACTTCACAGGGATCCTCATGCTTGGACCTCCTTGTTCCACACCAGGTTTGCGCGCAACAAGTGTCTTTCCCGCATAGCTACAGTATGGTTAGACCCCTGACCCCCCATTCCCATCCTCGGACGCCCCTTCCCCCAGGTTAGTTTTGGTTTGGTTTGGATTGGTTTAAGGTTGCTTGCGCAATCTTGAAGGGTTGTCATCGGTTCTGATGTGCAAGCCAGAAGACCTAAGCAGATTGCTCCTTGCAGAGGCCAGTGGATCATTTGTGCATCCTGCGCAGTCCGCTTGTCGGTGTCCACAGCGTTTTGGCTCCACGGCGCAGAGCGGCATCAGCAAAAGCTCGGCCATGAAGTTGACCTCCATTTTGGCGATTTGCCTGGGCGGTGCGAAGGCGCTGAACCCCGGCGACTGCGCCTTTACGGCGGTCTTTGCGGACGAAGCTTGGCTTCACAGAGCGATCAGATCGGAAACAGCCGTCAGCGGTGTCCATGCAGTCTGGCCGTTGGACCGTTTGGATGGTACCTCGCGATGCATGTAGGATGCGGAAATGCGTCAGGCGCACGTTTCCGGCAACAGGTTTGTGAGTGCTTGTCCAGCCAAGGAGCCAAGCCAGTTTGGGTTGTTGCTCCTCAAGGACAGAGACTGGAAGAAATCACCCCAGGGGAGGAAGAAATGCGAACAGGGGTGCTTTGAGACTGGCAGACTCCAATGCGAGAAACAGGGTGCAGACACAGCTTCGGACACAGCCGCAGGCACAGCTACGGATATATCCACAGAAAAAAAGCAGCTGACACAGAGCAGACAGAGCCACGGACCCAACAGCAGACAAGCTGTTGGTAGGCTGTTGCTAGCTGATTTGGGCTAGGATCGGCACCTTTCTAGTGTTCTCTTGAAAAGACATAATGTGAAGCCTTTACAGGACGTGGAGGAGGAGCCTGTCTTTGTGACCGACCACGGGTTGAGGGCAGACGGCTCCCTGAGCCGCGTCGGCTCTGTGACGAAGCAGCACAAGGGCCGCGTTGCGGCTGGCACTGTGTTGAAAAGCGCCTCGGAGCGAGGAGGACTTGCTTTCGGATTTGGCTTATCTTGCGTACCCCGCCAATTCATCCCAGAACAGGCATCCCACCCATTTCCGCAGATGTAGCGGAGACTTGCGTTCGCTGAAAAAGCAGATCCACTTTCAGAAAAAGGAAAACACGCTAAACACATGTACAAGAATGGGAAGCAGATGCTACTGCTGTACCCCCCTGATGCAGACCAATCCCATCAGCGTCACTGTGAGGCGCGGACTTCCAAGGGGAAGGCGGCTCTATCTCTGGTGACCACCTCGTGGCCTACACGGGCTCCGCAGAGTCGCCACTAAGCGTTAACATAGTGCACTTAAGGGACGCAGATTCCCACATTTCGCATCAATGAACTCAGTGCACGCCTAAAGCATCTCAATGAATCACATCTACAGCTCTCACCAGCCGACTCACGTCACAGAGAACATGTACGCAACATACAGCAATTGCATCACACGAGGAAGTTGCGGGAGCCCATGGATTGACCCATCCAAACGAATTTAACCGTACCTTGCGGACACTATGTCCAAGTTGGCTTGTTTCTGCTTTTCCTTGGCCTGTCAAGGCTCTGCACTGGTGGCTTTGTCTACTTGTAATGAATTTGGAGACGTGTTGAGCGTCGGTCACCGCTATGAAGACACGTGCATCTCCTTTCTGGCGGCAGTTTACGTTTGCAATACATTCCCGAGGGAAGAAGTAAGGGACCGGCTGCAAAGAATTTCTTCCTGGTGACTTGGGTGTGGACGTTGGCACAAGCTACTTTGGAATTCTTCCAGATGTTTTGGGTGCGACGCAACCGCATGATTTTCTTGGTCTCACTTTTCTTTGCAATGAACAAGTGATCAACTTCCAGCACTTGGGTCATAAACGGAATTGGAGCAATACACGAAACAAACTGTAACACGGAAAAAAGAAGGCGCCGCATGTGCTGAGGCCCACACTGTTGTGTGCTGTGCACATGGAGGACATTTCAGCTCCCAGCCGCATGCTCTCCGGCCTTGAGGCAGGTTTTGGGGAACCAAAGGCAGACATTGGAAGGGCATTGGAAGGGAAGCGGTTTTGAAGACATGCCCTTGCTCGAGCATTCAACGAATGTCTTTTGCCGATTTAGCTCGGCTACGGTCCAGGCACATAGTTTGTGTCGCATGTTCTCCTTGTACGATGCGAGACAACTCCTAAGCTGGCTTGATGCCATTTGATTTGCAGGAAGGAATCTCTGCGGTGGTCCTTCCGGAGTCCGACAACGCCTACTACACGGGGCCGGCTTTCGGCACAGTGGATGAGCTGCGTGCGGCCGTCAATGACAGGCAGGGGACGCCTTTGTACAACTTTTGCCCCTGATTGCCAAGACTTGCAGCTTGAAGAAGGGTGTGCGATCCAGGCTGCGCCTGTGATCCGTTCAACTTGGAAGTAAAGCCTGACTTGCCCAGGAGCCTGTGGACGTCAGAGAATGTGCGCCCAGAGGATGGCCGCATCCTGAGCAGCTTCGTCATCCAGAGCGGCGCCAACACCACCACTGCGATGACGGAGACCACGACCTTCATGAACAGCACTATGATGACCACGACTGCCACCACGATGTTCTCAACGGCAGAGCCTACCACCATGCCGCCCACCACCATGCCGCCCACCACCATGCCGCCCACAACCATGCCGCCCACCACCACTACTGCTGCCCCAGAGGAGCCTCCGAGCGCCGCGGTCCACGCCATGGCAGGGGTGCCTGTGCTCCTGGCTCTCCTGAGCATGGCGTGAGTTTGATGTTTTGGTCAGGGCAATGATCTTGACCATAATTCAGGCTGCTCGACCTTGAGCAGTCCACATCGCACTACGATTTGAAACAGGGCTGAGCAATACAACACTTGACAGGCTTGTTTAATCTTCTTGGAACTGTTGCACAAGAGTGTGGAGGATTCACAACCCTCAGATCGAGACCAATTGAGCACGACCTACTCCTTGGAGAATGCTCTAGATTGTAAATGCAACTACCAGGATTGCTCGCGCATCAATTGCTGTCCCACAACTCCTGCGGTAGATGGAGCCAGCTGCTGGCAGTAGGTCTAGTAGTTCTTGCAACCGACGTTACACACTGCAGTAGTGCAAAAACAAGGCCTTGCTGACTTTGTGACAGGGTTGCTGAAGGATCACGTATCATTCTGTTTTCGTTCACAGTGAGACACCGCTTGGAGGCGCCGCTTGCTTGACATGGAGCTTCTCTGGCAGAGGCTGATGCACGTGTTTCCACACGTCACCATGCATCTCGGCTTGACCTTGAGTTGCAAGTAGGCAGTGGGAACAATTCCTCAGTTGATGTTGCGGTGGTTGATGCTGTGCTCCGGGCTGCATCTTGCCCGGGGCATTCCCAATACGAATGGCTGGGAAGCAATGTGATCAATCATGGGTTCCCAGTCCAAAACACCGAGCTTTTACAAGTTTGAGGATTTGGCAATGCAGGCAGTTCAGGAACCGAGCTACGGAAATCGGCCAGTATTGCTGCAACCGCTCCGAAGCTCTTGAGGCACGGCCCCTCCATGCGCTGCCCCTCTATGTGCATCATGTGTGATATCGAAGACGAGTCGCGCAGTTGCTTAGCGGTTCCAAGTCGCTTGGGAGATTGCTGGATTCCCGCGGGCAGCTCTGCGACTGTCAGGAAGATCACCCAATGGCTTGATCTTTGCAAGTGCGCTTTAAAAGAAGTACACATTGCATCATCATTCTTTTCACAGAGAAACACGTCGCTGCTACAGCAAAGACCATTGAATGCCACACGAGCGCTGCATTGGAGGCTTCAATTCGGCACGCTCTTGTGTGAGCACAAGCCGAACGCTTACAGTTCTTCGGCGGAGGCAAACTACACGCGCCATTGGTGGTGTAAGCAGCCTTCAGATTCTCCTGAGGAGATCCTTGTGTCAAGTGTGCGTTGCCACCTGCTTTGCGTGGGCTGGGGTCAGCAGCGGGGTTGCAACCCAGGCTGATGGCCGAGTTGCGCCCGTCACATTAGGCCGCCCCAACCAAGTGACTCACCTGGATTTGCCTCGAGAGGTGGTGGGAAAAGGATCGACTCGGAGGATGTTCCGCATTGGTAACTGATTGCTCCTCTCAAGTAAAACTCTGATGGTGCACATTGGGTGCCTTTGGCTGGACTGCAATCTATTGTGGATGTGCCGAACAGTTAACAGTGGCTAGGTGACCTTTGCATCTTTCTTGGATGCTTCTTTGATAGGCTCGTTGTTTAAGGGAGCTGTCATCAGGTCGGTTGTGGCACATCCTCAGTGACGCACTTGCATCCTATCTTCAAGTGTATATCTCTCCCAACGATCTTCCTTCCAAGCAAGAAACCCGTCGATACATCCGGTAGTATGTGCATGCATTTGCGTCAACGCCGAGTTGATACGGGATTCAATGGTGACAATCGGATTCCCGCTAGCACTCTCGCCCATGTCATCGCATTGGCTCGTTCAGCTTTGGCCCCTTGGGCACTGAGCCATGGCGGATGGGTGCAGCCTCCTGCGGGTCCCGGGGACGAGGTCGGCGAGAAAGCCAAGAGCCGAAGTGCTGAAGTTCTGAAGTAACAAAAAGTGGAAGACTGAGGCAGTTAAAGATTGTGAGCTCGGGTTGGGCAACATAGCTTGTTGGACAGTCAGTGTCTACACTCTCAGAGCTTCAGAGCTGCGCTAGTTTATGGCGACCCATCGGCAGTTTAAGTCTGGAAGCATTCAATCTTCCAATGTCATATCCATCGACCTTGTCCAGGCTCAACCTGACGTGTTCATATACTGTTGGGTGTTCTGCTTTTCCAATATGCGGCAAACAACTTCTTGCCTAAGTCTTCTCCCGATTTACTTCATGAAGCAGACAGACTGCTGATCTCCTCAAGCCAGACTTTGGTCAAGAAGTGCTTTAATCGAATGAACGTAGCAGGTCAGAAACAAGTATATCCAGCTAAAACTTACTGGCTGCTGGAGCTTCCTTAGCTAGGCCTAGCATTTCCGGGTGCTTGGATGGGGCCCAAGCTTGATCACCCGGCAAAGAGCAGCATGCTTCAGGAAGGCAACATCAAAAAGAAAGGACCGAGTGCTTTGGTGTGCGTGGAAGCTCCAGAGAGTAGAGAATAAAATTGATCCAGAGCACCCAACTCGGGGAATCTTTACTTTTCGCTTGCTTTCGCCGCTTGTGCTTGTGTTCGCTCTCGACAGGCCCTTTGTATCCACTCATCCCCCAGAGTCAATTGCAGGCGACCGCGCTGAGGCTGGTGGACATCATATTTTGGATCTTGTCAGGTATATCTACCTGCGGATGCCAGCTTCTTGCCTTTGGTCCAATTGTGGGCATTTGATAAATTTGATCACCACACGTGCCGAGCATGGTGCTTGAGGAGTCACTTCGGGTGAAGGGCCGATGCTCAAGTTGCTGGAAGGGGCCTTTTCATGAAGCCGTCAGTTGATTGCAGTGAAACACAGTGCTCGGGCAGGTCGACGAGCCATGCCAAGGCGGAAGGCCGGGAAACCCAGAGGAATTCTTTCTCGTCATGTTCTTCTTTTTGTTTCTTCTTTCGTTCTTGTTCTCGTTGTTGATTATTGATCATTTGGTTTCCATTTTTTCTTTTTCATTTGTTCTTTTCTTTCCGTTTTGCTTTCTTTCTTTTGTTTGTCTCGTTTTCTTTTGTACACTTCTCCTTCTTTCTTTCTCTTTCTTTCAACTTTGTCTGTCTTGCTTTCTTCCTTTTGATTGTCTTTTATTTCTTTTCGTCCCATCTATTGCTATCTATCCATCTAGCTATCTACCTTTTACCTAAGTATCCATCTCTCTATCTATCTACCTACCTACCTGCCTACCTACACTATCTACCTACCTACTTAGCGATCTATCTATCCATCTATCTATCTATCTACTCATCCACATTCTCTCTCTTCCTATCTGTTTATGCACTTGATCCTGTCTATCTATCTATCTATCTATCTATCTATCTATCTATCTATCTATCTAATGTCTCTAGCTATCTGTCTGTTTGTCCGTCTGTTTGTCTGTTTGTCTGTTTGTCTGTCTGTCTGTCTGTCTATCTATCTATCTATGAATCTATCTCTCTTTAGCTCTCTCACTATGTCTATCCATCTCTGTATCCATCCATCTTTCTGTCTTTAGTTCTTTCTTTCTTGCTTTCTTTCTTTCTTTACTTCTTTCTTTCGTCCTTTCTCTCTTCTATCTATCTTTATGATATGCTTATCTAGTCTATCTACCTATCTATCTGTCTATCTATCTATCTATCCACCTGATCTCGCGCCTATTTCAAAATGCATGACCTTGCGAAGGTGCTGTGCCTGCCATGAAATCCTTACATGACCTCGCGAAAGTGCTTCACCTGGCGCGAATTCTGCACCTGACCTTGCCAAGGCTGCTTGACCTTGCGAAAGTGCTGCAACTGCCCTCGGCACGCAAACTAATGAAAGAGCGGTCTGAACGTGGTCCGAACGTGGTCCGAACGTGGTCCGAGCAGGCGTCGCGATCAGTCGAGCAACCCAAAGCACCGCCGAAACCCACAGCGGGTTGCTTTTTTCACACATTTATCCCCCGCCACACGGTCTTTCTATTCTCCACGCGGGCAACTGTTTTTTTCTTCCCGCTGGCTGTTCTTTCATTTGTCTCAGAGAGCTAGCTTTCAATCAGTTTCAACGAGTTGCCGTGCCATGGAAGTACCTTCCTAACTTCCTTCGATTGCTAGACGATTTGACAAGGCAACCCAAAGAAACGGCATATGCTTTTGAATCGGTGTTGACTTGACCAGTTCAGGCCTAGGCTGATTTTGTAGGATCGAGGGAAAGGTTTTCTTGCATGCAGCCAGGACACCTTTTTGAACTAGTACGATCATGGGCCAGGGACATTTAGTGGAGTTATTTTGTGAGTTGTGCATAGAGAGAGAGCAAGAAGCTTGTGAATCGATACATATTGCCTGCCTCAGGGACGCCGCACCGCCTGAGCGCATGCAGGCAGGGCTGAGCGGAGCTCGCAAGCATCCTTTCGGCAGCTCGTTGAGTGGGAAGATTCCAGCAAACACCCTGGTCTCACTTGTTTGTGCCAAGGCCTTTTCGAACTAAACCCCTACCCTTTCGGAAGATGCCGACAACTGCTGTGAGCCAAACAGAATGCAGGAAGTGCCATATGATTTCCAAACCCAGCATCGTGAGGATGGAGAAGAGTGTTCGTGCCTGGCAATGCCCTCAGCACCTGGCATGCCCTGAGAGTCGGAGCCGTGCTCCTGTAGTGTACTTGTAGCAAATGGCAAGCGGAGCAGGAGAGTTTGAGGCTGAGGGGCATTTGGCAATGTGAAAGCGCGACTGATCAATGACCCTCTCTTTTCCATTTGTGCAACATGTTCTGGCCGCTGGTTTCGTTTGCGTTTTTTTTGGGGGCCAGGCCGCAGGATTCATGGGTGACCTTTTAGTGTACCTCTCTTTCCTGCCACCCTCATGAACAGGTGCCATTTTAGCAACGGTCTTGTGTGCCCAGTACTGGACTCTCTGTGACGACGTGAAGCTGCTGAAGGCAGTGAGAGAGATGGGGAAGAGAGTTGGGGCAATTGCACTTTTGGCCTCTTTTGAGTTTTTACTCTTTTGCATGCAAACGAGTTAACTGAAGTTAACATGATGGACGTTTGCCCAAAACGTGTCGCAGTGAAATGGCACAGACGAAGGGCAAGGGAAGCCTCGATACCTTCAGGAGGAGCGACTTCTGGCACTCCACGATGGCATCCTCGACTGTGCCAAGGTGGTCGCTGCGCGGATGGTTCCGCGCCCAGTTAAGTACATTTCAGTTGATTGAGAAAGACCTTCAGCCAGTACAGTTTTTTTTCTTCTCTCTCTCTCTCTATCTATCTCTCTCTTTCTCTCTCGCGTTGTCTTCTCTCTTTCTTTTTTCTTCTCTCTCTCTCTTTCTCTGTTTTTTTTCTTCTCTGTCTCTTTCTCTCCCTGTCTCTCTGAAACTTTCAGTGGCAATGGAGGAGAGTCCTTTGACAGGGGCAAGAGTGGTGTGCATAGCACCGGATCCTCGGAGAAGGCTTTTTAGCAGTTCTTTGCGCTCCCTCCGTGTGTTTCTTGTTTTGTGCTGCTCGTCTGTAGATTACTTCCAGTGCCATCATTCGTCAATCCTGGCGCACCGCAACTGGTGGTACATGTACATAGGCACCCGTTGATGTGATAGGTCAACAATGCTCTGTGCTTTGCACATTTCGAGAGTGAGGCAGCCAGTTTATTGTTGATCTGGAATTCTGGCAGACACATGCTTCATGCTTGTCGCATCGCTGCAAATGGAATGCATGAGGTGGAAGCATCAGCTTGAGCCTCAGTGATTTGCTGGCCAGCTTGCCAGGGACATCGGTGTATCTTGGTGGCTGGCTGGCTGGCTGACTGGCTGAGTGAGTGACTGACTGACTGGCTGTCTGGCTGGCTCATTAACTGGCGAGCTTGCTAACTAGCCCGCTTATTGGCCAACTGGACAGCCAGATGACTGGCTACAAGCTGTCTCACCAACTGGCTTTGCCGGCTATTTGCTCACTGGCTTGTTAACTAGATGGCTCACTGGCTAGCTTTGTCTTTGCTCTTGAGGTTGTTTGTCAAGCTTTGAAAAGCGAAGCTTAAAGCTCTGGACTTGTGAGGCCACGCAAGGCCTCCTGATCTGCAGCGAGCGCATTGCAGAGCAGGAGAGCTTCAATGGCGGCCACATGACCCTCGAGGCTCGCTGTCACAAGCTTATGGAGTGATTGTTGTGTCGCTTCAGACTTTTTGGTGATGATGAGCATGTTGTCAATTCGGGTTTTTGGATTCACTGATGACAATTGGGAGACGCTTGGTAAGGGACAGTAGGACACAACTGCAACAGGCTTTTGCGTGAAACAGGAGCCCCTCAAGCGGGATCCCCACATTGGGCTAGGTTGGCCGGGCTTTTGGAGACATGGGGAAGCTTTTGGCTGATTGAATGGCTG